CCTTTCTCTGAGTTTGTCTCCACTACAGAGAGCCTAAAAGTTGAGAGGGCTCTGCTTGGGCTAGGGGCCTGACAAGAGCTTCTAGAATTAGTCAGTCCTGTTGGTTGAAATCTTTGTTATTTCAGCAGGGAAATCTAGCAACTGCTTTCTAAAATAGGAAATGTGTGTTATTTTGCAGCAAGCTGTGGTTGGTGGACATCATCATTCATTACTAAAACCTTAGAAATTTGAAATTCATTGTTAACTATTAGTCCAAAAGTAGCAGTATTTTGGATCACAGAGCTATTTCATGGTAGTACAAGATAAATCTTCTGGAATTCCTGATCTGAATTTTTAGCTAGGGGCAGAGGTAATAGAATTCATATGTTCTTGTTCTCATTACTCTAATGTTGAAATTTTAGTTTTCATTGCATGATATACTGTATGAGTTATCTAAGGAACAGCAAGTTACAAAAGAATGTTTGCCTTTGCAAGTGACTGAGGTCCCAGTCCCACACGTCAATTTGACTTAAGACAGCTGCACAGAGATGAAGTTATTTACAGAATTTAGACTGACAAGTATATTTTAATAACAGAACTCTTAAACTGGCCTTGATTCTGCTAAGACTAACTTTTACTTTTAACTTTATATGCACCTAGTGGCTTTACTGATGTCATTTAGACATAAACTTTGAACAAATAGGGCCAGATCTTTTTCAGTGCAAACCAGGAGAATCAAAAATGTATGCATTATCTAAAAATATAATGAAAAGAAGCCTGTACTTTCTGAAGAGAAAATCAGCTTGTTGACTAAAACAAAATTATTCTGACAGTTCAATTTGTATGTATGTTATTATGTTATTTTAAGTGTGAAAGTATATCTAAGTAGGTAGAAGAGGTACGTACTGCAATGCTAAGTCAAAACAATGGTTTTCAAGTTAAACCTATTGTATGCATCTAATACATTCTCACTCCCTGTATTTTTCTGAATCTCGTCAGCTGTTTGCATCACTATATTAGGTAAGATGAAATTTTTCGAGGTGTGTTAATGTATTGAAATAGAGCTTTGCCTAGGAGGGTTCTGACATGTACTGTCAGTCGTCATACGTGATAATGCTATTCAGATTATACAAAGAGTCACTGGACTAATGAATGTATGAAAACCTACTTTTATAATCTCTATAGCAACTTCTTATGTCTGTAAATAGCTCTTAAGCCACAAACGTTGAAATATATGCATGGGTACTTACAACACTGGGAAACAAAAGGGATTGCTAATGTTGATGTCTAAATCTGAATTTAATGTTTATTCACACTATGTAAGTATTGTCAACCGAGTAATTTATTATGTTTAGTTGTAAGAATTCTTGCTATTTGTTGCTGTTGGTTATTCTTGGAAATTTTAACCATAAGGCTAAAAATTAAAAGAAAAATTGCCGAATTTTGAGTATCCTCAAAGATTTTTAATATTTTATTTCAGATGCCATTACTGTTTGTTCCAAAAGCAGTATCTTACCTATGAATAATCTTTGTAAGAAGAGCGTGCGTGTTAGTAGAAGCTGGGGTCATTCCTCTGTAAATGATTGTATACTACTAACTCCATACGTGACCTTCTTTCTGAACTGATGAAGGAGTAAGTGCTGAATAAGGACTATTTCCTTTTTTACCCTAATTTATTCTTAGGTAATCCTGTCCCAAATGAAGAAGGATTTATTGAATTTCGGATGGTAGGCCCTTTGAAATACATGTGGTGGTACCATGTGGTGGGGCTGATCTGGATCAGCGAGTTTATCCTAGCCTGTCAGCAGATGACGGTAGCAGGGGCTGTTGTGACATACTATTTTACAAGGTAAGGACTTAGCTCTATAGTGAGCAGCCTGGAAATGGAATCAGAAGAAATAATGAGGGACAGAGCTTTTGGGGAAAATTCATAGCTTTTCCCTGGAAGCTAGAAAGTAACGGAATTATATTAACCCTTTTAAAATCATATTGAGTCCTAAAATCTGTTTTACTGGTTGTAGACTGTATTACTGGTATTATGGACTTGCAGTCTTGTTTGCCTTGTAAGCGGTGCACACCATAAAGACATGGATGATTGTTTATGGAAGTGGAAAGCACCTGGAGGGTCATCTTTTCTAATAAGCTCATCTTTCTGATAAGCTCTGTAGAGATTAAAAAGTAATTGACAGCAATTGAGTATGATGATTTTAATTGCAAAATTGAACTGAAGCACAGGCAGTTCCACCTAAACCTGAGAAAAAACTTCTTCACTGTGAGGGTGACTGAGCATTGGAACAGGTTGCCCAGAGAGGTGGTGGAGTCTCCTTCCCTGGAGATATTCAAACCCCGCCTGGACGTGATCCTGGGCAATGTGCTCTAGGTGACCCTGCTTGAGCAGGGGGGTTGGACTAGATGATCTCCAGAGGTCCCTTCCAACCTAAACGATTCTGTGTTTCTGTGATTCTGTGAAAATCGTGTCATTTAAATTATTCACAGTGCTTCATTAATCTTTCTTACACAAGATTGCTTAAGATCTAATTAGATTCATTATTTTCATATAGATTCTGACAGGATCATATACAGATATGCAAGTGATACAAAATATGTATGCATTAAAGCTCCATATTTTATCGCTCGATTTGTGTCCCAAGTTGAGTTATCATGGTATACAGTTCCCTGGTCATTCTACATGTATCTGTTAGCTATTTGAGAAGGCTATGCTAATAATGCTAATGTAATTAAACAATGGTTTTACCAATGTTCGGGTACAAGGATTCTGGCTTCACAGAGGCATGAGGCTAATTTCAGAATCATAAGCTTTTGAAAATGAATGAATAGCAGCTTTTGGTTTTTAAACTCTAGAATGCACAAATATTGTATTTTCTGGTTTTTCATTAATATAGCTCAAAATTTATCTTCAAGTGAAAACTGAATTCTTGTGTTAGTGCTTTAGGACCTGGGGTTTGGAGGAAAAAAATGGTGTCATATGCTTTGTTAATATTTCCTGAGAATAAAATACCTCAGTGATCTGTAGTACAACATTCTGGTATGTGTACTAGAATAATTGGCAATATGTTTGGTGAGAAAAAGAATCAAATACACTGTTGTCCTCTTACCTTTTTGTAAAAGTATATTTTTAATGAAGCTTTTCTAGCTATAGTTCTAGATGTTAGTCGTTCATGATACGTTTCCTTTAAAAAAAAAAAAAAAAGTCATTATTCAGCAAGAAAATTAATTACAATTTTATTTCCAGTGTTGTCAAGGTATTTTAAAAACAATGTAGATACAACTCCTCTGGATAAAGAGCCACATGAGTAGAGGATGTTGACAAGATACAAGTCTTTTTTTAAATGAAGATATTCAGCAACCATACTTAATTCTTCTCATGTGCTTTTTAGTCTGTTTAAAAATACTGATTTTTTAAATATTGTGTGCATGTATTTTTTTCAGATGATTTATTCACATCACAAATGTTTAATTGTTTTGTCTTTGTAGCTGAGGCTATGCGGATTATATCTGATTGCTTATCTGCCCTAATCTCTTTAGAAAAAAAAATGTATATCTATAAAATATATGTATGTATATAAACTAAGCATATTTATACACACACACATATATATATCTCAGCAGCACAGAAATAATTTACTGCACAGGCAAATTCTATTACATTAATGATGAAGTCCTCCAGAATAACAACTAAATGCATTAGTGAAGCTATTAGAAGACATTACAGGGATGTCATCTTCTAAATAGTAAAACCAGACTGAGCGAAGAACTAGACAAATATGGAGTAGAAAGGATAATCTTGCACTGAAATACGTGGCTTAGCAAGTTTTTTATCTTATACTTCTTCTGTAAATTTATGTGTTTTCCACTACCTGAAGGTAAATGATTTTGCTTTTAACTCTTCCCTGTCTATCGTTCGTTAATGAGAATTGTATTTTAAGTTAGTAAATATCCATTTTTCTCCATTGCTATTCTTTCTTGTGTTTTAAAGAACAATTCTACTTTGAAAATTGACTCGATAAGAGAGGAAGAGGGCATTAATTTGGAGCTTCCCATTGTTTTGCCCATCAGCAGCTTTTCACATCAGATATGATCAGGTTATCTATGGCAGGATGTTTTATATACACTCACTATCTATTCACCTCAGCAGGATAGGCTCCCAGCCGCTCAGGCAGTAACAGATCTCAGGGTTCTGCAGTATAAAGTTTGCCCTCAGCTACATTCACTTGAGGAGGAGGAAGTTGTTGGGTTGTCCAGGTGGAGAGCTCAAAACTTAGACTTTTATGTGATTGTACCCAAGAAGGAATAGAATTTGGCTTCCTCCACTTGGGCTCTAACTTCTAATGGAAAGAAAGCCTATTAAAAAAAAAAACATTTTAATCATTAATGACTCATGATTAGGTTGTGCAGAGGTTAGTTTCATGGAATTAAGACCCTGCCTTTGATCTTTTTCGAATGAAACTTGCATGAAAATATTTTTTTCCCAAGCTGAGGAGATATTTTATGCTCAGAATGTCAGAATGTTAGCACTTTTTTCTTTCGTATGGTTATTGTGATGTTTATATTTATTATAAGGAACAGCCATCCTTTAAATGTTGAAATGAACTGATTTTTGTGAGAGAAATAGAGGTAGCTTGCTTTATATGAACTGTAAGAGGGACTTGCTTCAAAACTGTGTGGAATTGAGTATTTATATGACATGCTTAAAAATGATCTAGCTGTGTCACAACATAATAGCTTGTTTTAAGACTTAATTCTTGGTTCCTTGAGGATATAATAGCTAAATCAGAAATACAAATCATTGGAGGGAGAAGAATTTGCGTAATAAAAGGGTGGTTTTTTTGTATCTTCTCCAAGACAGTCTTCACTAAGACCTCAAGCAGAATGTGAGGGAGGAGGAGGAGGAGGGCAAGTTTATCAGAAGGCTGGCTGAAAAGTGTTTGCATTGTTTCTCACTTTTTTTTTTTTTTTTAAGTGTTTGAATTACATACCAACTGAAGTTGGTAGTTTTAAAGGAACCAGTGGTTGACTATAGCTGTAATGCAGTAATTTCTAGTAGGAGTACTCTTAAGATCTACTAATTCCTTATCCTTTTCCTGTGATTGCATTAGAACTAAAACTATGACTTGCACAGGTGGTTGATGTTTTGTATAGCATTAATAATATTCACCAAAAGCTAGAATGAGAATAGGAAATTTCTTTTGCCGGTTAGTTCAGTGAGGATTTGTATCAGTTTCATCTGATGACATTAAATCTGTATTGATCGTTCTACTTTTAGTCTTTTTCTCTTTTCCACAGGGAGAAAAGGAATCTGCCATTTACTCCCATTCTGGCATCTGTTAATCGCCTTATTTGTTACCATCTAGGAACAGTGGCAAAGGGGTCTTTCATTATCACACTAGTGAAGATACCACGAATGATTCTTATGTATATTCATACTCAACTCAAAGGAAAAGTAAGAGAAATAGATCTCATCTTCTTACTCATCTTCAACTGTAAACTTGACATGTTTACAGTTTTACCTTATTTCATTTGTGTGGGAGACTTGAAGTCTCATTTTGGAATACTTGGTCCTTAAAGGATCGTAGGACAGACAGGGACTGCATGGGTTGTCAAGTTGAGTTATCAGTTACAAAAACAGAAAGGAGTACTGTTTCCTTAAAATCTTCTATTTTGACTGTGTATCTTTATTCTCCTGCATTTTGTGGCTGCCCTAGGAAAATGCTTGTGCTCGCTGTATGCTGAAAGCCTGCATCTGCTGCCTTTGGTGTCTAGAAAAGTGCCTGACCTACTTAAATCAGGTAAGACTTTCAATATTGTAAGCTTTATGTAAAAGGCTGATACGTGTGATTCCCAGAATGCAGTCTGAGGCTGACACATAATATATTGTACTTTGGAACTTGACTGATCTGAATCAAGATACTTTGGTCTTGTCTCCATTCCTGAAATTACACTGCAAGTCACTACAGTAGTGCTCGTTCACAGTACAAAGGTGGAAAAATTGCCAGTGTTCATTTCTGTGCACAGTGCGTCTCAGTGTTATAACAGATTTGTTAAGTGGTCAGAGATGTTCTCCCTTGTGGGCAGTCTGCAGGGTATATCTGCTTCTGAAAACACATTTACTGGGACAGGAGAGGGAGCCTTTTGTAGATTTAATAGTTACAATATTAATTGACACAGTGACTGGTCAGGCTCCCTGGCCTGTGTTTCCACAATATATTTCCTGTAACTCCTTTTTCTGTTGCTCCTTTTTTTGCTTTTGAGACTAGAAATAAATATTTTGTTCTCTAATATATAATGTTATAAACATAAATGTTTGTTTGTCCAGCTACCTTTGTTAACGAGAACACTTTTCTTCTGGTCAGGTGACAGCCACTGTTTATAAAACCCTAAGTTTTTTGGAAGTGACTTTGCCCAAAGAAGGTGAAGAGTTGTAAATCTTGCTGTTGATTGTATATGACGGGTTTCTGCATTTAAACTCCCTTGTAAACCTCACTGAATCTTATCAACGCTCCAGTTTACTGAGTGGAAGCAAAGACAGAAATATTGGTGTTCTGTTGGAGACGGGACTGGGGCTTGGTATCTCAGCTAGAAATCGAGAGAAAGCACTGAAAAAAAGTTTGTAATCCTTGAATATTGTCCTGGCTTACCTTGACATTCCTGTTCAATGATTGCAGATAGAATTAGAAATGTAGTCTGTGGAAGTATCTGGAGATTATCTTTGCTGACTTGTATGACTATCAAAGTGCTTTATATATCTGGATTATTTTTTCTAACTACTTATTGTTGTAATAATGCCACTGCTCACCTCCTACTCCTGCAGAGAAGTTGCAAATTCTGTTTTAATTAGTTTTTGAAATGAACATGTTAATATGTAAATGAAGAGCAAGCAAGAAGAATGGTAACTCTGCCACATATAGTATTCTGTCAGCTGGCTCATACTCCTTGATTTAGCAGCTTTCAAGGGAATCTGCCCTAAGTAGCATGGCTTCCTGTGTCATATGCAAGTCATATGACTTACTCTGACTTATTCCAAAGACCATATCTATTCCTCTGTCCCCCCCACCCTCCTACAACCACTCCCACATCTCCGCCCCTCCTCTTCTGCCTTCCCCCCCTCACATTGATCACCTTTTTTTTATCTCTGAGGAAGAGTATATAATGTAGAAATTAATGGCATCATCTGGTCATGCTGATCTTTCTCAAGTAGCCAAGTCTGTTATTAAATCTAGTGCTCTAGAACACAGCCCTTCCTGTTGAGGAAGGGGTAAGTAGCTCTCCTAAGTCCCCTCCTGATGGATACTGAACAGAATTCTAGGGTGTGAAGTCTGAAATATCCGATCAACTCTGTAATTAAGTCTTCATTTTGCTTGTTCCAGAATGCATATACAGCCACAGCTATCAACAGTACCAACTTCTGCACCTCAGCAAAGGTGCCCTTCATTATTCTAGTGGAGAATGCTTTGCGGGTGGCTGCCATAAACACAGTGGGAGATTTCATGCTTTTCCTAGGAAAGGTATGTCTACTATATTCTGCTAGGGACCTCGGTATGTCAAAGTTTTTTGTTGTTGTTATTGCTGTTGTTTTTTTGCAAGCAGCAAACTTTCCTCAGTAATGGCTTGCATCTCAGATAAAAAAAATGCCTTCAAATTCTTGTCTCCTAGCATGCATTCTTGTCACATCTAGTTGCGTTCTATCAGGAAGGGGCCATCCAGGAAAAGGGAGGATAAAGAGGTGATCTGCCTAGGTTAAGTAAGACTGATCAGAAAAGAAGAGCTTTAGATGCTGGCATTTTTTAGAAAAAAGCAAAATTATTTTTTGCATGTATTTATTTTTAGAGAGTCAAGAGAAAAGTGTCCAGAAGTTTGACTTTTTGATTGGATCTGTGGTTAAAAACCTAAAATTTTACAGAAAGGAGGCATTTCCTCAAAATTCTAGTTAGTAAGGAACCTCCAGAGTTTCAAAGAGAATTGGAACATTATTGATCACTACTTATGACAAAATTGGACTCGAAGATAGTACAGGATCCTGCTCCGAGGAACTGTCAGCTCAGCTAACAAAGTTACCTTTACTTTGAGAATCAAAAAGTGACTAGCGTAATTGTTGTGGCTGGTCAGTTTTTTCTGTCTCCAGAAGTGATGGAGATATGTTTTAAGAAAACGAACCCAATGAATTATTCTTACCCCGTGAATGATTTTGTCCTGAAGGAAGATTTACTGAAATACAGAATACCAATCTACTGATTCACCTATCTTCCAGTATTTCGACGCTACTCGGACTGAACAATCTTCCTTCCTATATTGGTGTATTTCTGTTAAGTTAGGCTACTAGGGGCTGAACTTCTAATCTAGTAATTAAAAGTAATTAGAAAGCGTGAGGAGAAAGAAACACATAATGAAGATAAAGGTGCCTAGGAGATCATGAAACGCATCGCGCAGAAACATATCCCTGAAAAGATGGCTTTCAAATTATTAGAGAAATGCAAGGGGGACAGACTTGTTGAAATGAGGAGTGTAGCATACCAAAAATAGTATCAGCAAAACAGTAGTAGGCTGCCAGCCAGGTTCTTCTACTAGTCCAATCCAGCATTTTCATTATATAGTAAAACTGGCACATTTTACACTTTGGGTTTAGTTTCTGTTTGTAGTAAAAGGATCAGAAAATGTTCAGAATGTTGAGAGGTCATGGCAATTGTTTTAATTTCTTTGTCATTCTCGAAGACCAAAATGGTACCTAATGAAACATCTGCCAGGGCGACAGACATCCTGTAGGTTTCTAGGGAAACACACCAATGTGTAATGTAAGTTCCTTATGTTAATTTTGATCCATTTTTGCTTTATAGAGCAAAAGAAGCTGTTTTGGCTAAGTTATTTCCTCCAGCAAATAAAAAAATACCCTCTCCCTCCTACAAAAAAAAACAAGAACACAAACAACCACACAGTAGTTGGTTAGTGGCATCTCGTTCTAGGGGTTTTATAGCAGGCACTATAACACAGGAAGGATGACAGCATGCTAGAAACATAACTAGTTTTCAGGAGCTCTGAAAGACGCCTCTTACATTGAAGATGTATTTGAAAGCAACCTGCTACTCAAGTGCTGGACTATCAAGAAAGCGCCATTTACACAAAAAGATGCAGGGGGTTGAGGAAATAAAGATGTTGTTGCCACAGCATCTGCAACCCCCAGTCTAACCCTGGCTGAGCAAGAAGTGCGTAGGTTAGAAAAAATAATCAAAGGGCTTCTAACATTAGAATTCTTCATTAGGATTGTTTGCTGTTTTCTCCTTTAGGTCCTGATTGTGTGCAGTACAGGTTTGGCAGGGATTATGTTGCTGAATTACCAACGAGATTACACTATCTGGGTGCTGCCTCTCATCATTGTCTGCCTCTTTGCATTCCTGGTTGCTCACTGCTTCCTTTCCATCTATGAAATGGTTGTTGATGTCCTCTTCTTATGTTTTGCTATTGATACAAAATACAATGATGGAAGCCCTGGGAGGGAATTCTACATGGATAAAGTTCTCATGGTAAGTTTCCCAGCACTCCCTGAAATCTAAGGATATGGTTCCTTAAGCTGCATGTTTTGAGAGCAGCAGGATGAGCTTTCTAGAAGACTGTCATTTGCCTTAGCTGGGTTACCTTTCTGTCTGTTAATGACTTGATATAAGCAAATGGAGTAGCCTGAGTATCAGGTAAGCAGTAATGCCTCCCCCTTTTGTCATCACTATTATTGGCTTCTGTTCGCTGGCTGTGAGATAAAGTGTCTTCTTACAGAATCATTACCGTACATATCATTTATTGTAAATGATTTTTTGCAAAAAAGAAAGAATCAAAGCAAGAGGAAAGGGTTTGGGTTTTTTTCCACTTTCCTAAAAAGGATCTCCTCTCGGGAAGAGGAGTAGAGCAAACAGCAGTTTATTCTCCCCCCACACAAATACATGTAAATAGCAATCACATTAGAATTTTTCTTCTTTTAAACAGACAGAAACCCAAACATGCTTCTCAGTCTATCATACTTTGAAACAAGAGACTTTTATTTTTCATCCTAGAGTTAGGTAAAAGCCCTTTGCAGAATTCATTTCTTATTTCTTGCTTCCATTTTATCCCCTGTTCACTCTAGTTAAAGACCAAGATGTCAAATTCTGCTCCTAAAGCTATAATTAGGCTGACGATTTGTAGCCAAGTAGGTCATTTTCTTGATCTTTTTTTTTCCTTCTATTTTGAATGGCAGCCACAGAAGATACCCCTGTAAAATGTACCCCCTCATGTTACAGAATCAACAAAGTTTTGCAAGTGGTTAACTCCAAGTTCTTCTGTTTAATGGAGTTTAGCATTCCACGCTGTTCACGGGATGGGTGTAGTAACTGGGATCTTCATGTTTTTGTGACAGTCACGCTCCTACCTCCCTTTTCCATAAAGGAGAGCATTATGTGGTAAATGTGAAAGTACTAACAGCATTTAACACAAAAATCTGTCAGGCTTCCAGCTCTTCGGAACTGGGTGAGGAAGACCCTTGTGGCTGGCTCTTGATATTTTGTGGAGAAGTCTGACCAAAAGAAGCGTGAGAAACATGTTATGTTGACGTTTGTGTTCACAGGTTGTATCTTGGTGAAGTATTGTATCTAGAGCAGATGTGTGCATGTCACTTTATAATTGTTTTTTCAGGAGTTCGTGGAGAATAGTAGAAAGTCTATGAAAGAAGCTGGCCGTGGAGGTGGAGCTGAGAGCAGAGAGCTAAAACCAATGGTAGGTGCAGATGAGGAGGTGGAGGTCCTCCAAGAGTTTCACTTTTACTTCCTCTCCCTCTTTGTCTTTACTGACTGCACTTCTTCAGGAGAAGTTTTTGTTCTCTGTATCACTCAAGATGTTCTGCTTTTTCTGTTTGTGAGCTTGCCTATCACCTGGATGGCAGAGTTTTTGTCACAGCTGAGACCATCTCCTGTAAAAGTAAGATGAAAGGAACTGTGTCATATGAAACAAATGCAGTATCATTTCATTAGGATTAGTAGTGTGTGCGCTAGGTGATATACACAGACAGCCCCCACTGCTGAGCACTCTCAAAATAAGATGACTCTGGAATTTATTAATCTGTTCTGACTTTAATCGTCTTTACAGTGCTGAACTAAACAATTCTTGCTGATCTTACATTCAGTGTAAGAGCCTGCAGAACACTACTGAGCGCATCCATTGTTGCAAAGTAGGGCCAGGCATTTAAGCTCTCACCAAATTATTTTATACAGTGCCAAGGGACTGGATACAGTGATTCCTTTCAACCTGCTTAAATGACATTTCTCCCAGTTGTTTGTTTTTATTGCCAACTACTTCTGTTGCTTGTCTCTTGTGTGCTCTTTCCATCTCACACTGTCAGATGCAGAGACAGTGAGCAATGCATCATTTATGCTTCTGCAGCCTGTTTTACTTATGGTGTGCCTATTAGGAAGGCATTGCATGTCTGAGTAGCCTGGAATAAGGAACAGCTGTACAGATAATACAGTTATCAGTATAGGAGAATGAGTTTGGAAGGTGGAGAACTGAGAGCATATGATGAGAAGCCAGGCTGGGCAAGGTACGATTTGTCATTGTGCAATATGACTTTGTAAAATAAGATAGTATTCCATCATTAATTTCTGAGAATATTTGGGACTTGACTCAGTTCCTTACCAAGTGGACAATTTTTTTAACTCATGGAATCCAAATGTATACTAGTAGTAGATTTTATTTTATTTTTTTAAATGATGTATGTGAAGCCATGTTGCATGAGCACTTTTTGACCTAGCTGGAATGAGTTTCTGCTCTAGACTCAATAGATGTGTAGCTTTGCGTGTTTTGCTATTCATTATAACATACCAGTCTGTAGATTTGCTTATGTCTAAATGTTGCCGTGATTTTAAATTTAAAAAACTAGTTCTGTGCTCATTTACTGTTTCCTTCAGGGAGTAATTCTAGTTAAACAGAGACACTAATGTTGGGATTTTCAAAGCGGTTTAAGCGCTATAGATGTTAAAGCCGCCATTAGACTTTTGAGAATTGGGTTTGCCCACCCTCCAGTCATAGGTTCAGAAAATCTCATCCCAAAATTTTGTTACCCAAACCTCTAATTTTGTTGGTTTACCTTAAGTGCTTTCCCACTCATGCTCTTCTCAGAGCTAGTACAGACTGCTACACAAACTTTTGTACTTGACTGCCTGGAGCTTGTATATTAAAACATTTATCCACCCTACTTGCAAGAAGACAAACCAAACAATTGCAAGTCAGGGTTCTTTTTGTTCTTTTAGAAACTTGACTTTAGGCACTCAAGCCTGGCAATGACTGAAAGTTCTCCTAGGGCTGTTGGGGGATGCTGAGTCCTTGGGACTCTCGGCCTGAATGTTCATATGCTGACATACTCCCAGTTCTGCTGCTCGTTTGATAGTCCTGTTTGGAACCGATGGGCCTTATTTTCTCAAGTGGTCTTCAGTTTTGGGCTGTTCAGCTTCCACTACATAGGGTCTGAAATTTTGAAACCTCACTTCCCGACAAGGACTGAATGCAACATAGGTAGCAGTAATTCCCTCTGTGGAACTTCTGATACCTTTTCCTGAAGCATTGATAAAGGCCTCTATTACCTCCAAAACAGGATCATTGATAAGGATATTCTGTAATAGTAGTACCTATGATCTCATAATTTGGTGTTGCAGATTAAACGAAACTTTTTAAAACAGTCTGTACTGTTTTGCCTCAGTTTCTCTAAGCATGTATATTTCTTAGGTATGACAATTTGTTCTAAAAGTGAAAAGCCCTAAATACAGTTCTGTTTTTAAATAGGTATTAATAGCAGAGGTGAGGAAATTTAGGATCTTCTGGCTCCAAAGAGACTATCAAGGCCCAAGAAAAAAATCTTTTCACACTTCTTTCTTTACAATTTCCAGTGACCCCTTTTGACTCAATTTCTCCTTATCCTTTGGCATTTGTCTAAGACTGTACTGTATGACTTTGTTTTCTAGGCCTCTGGAGCAAGTTCATCTTGAAACTAGCCAGCCATTATGGAACCATTGACATTCCAAAACAGTATATATATACATATACACACACACACACACACACACACACACACACACATATATATATATATAAATATATATAGAAATATAAACAGCCAAAATCAGAGAAAAAAGGACAAGAGATTTAATACTTTTTTTAACAATTATTTTTGTGAAACATGTACTCTTTTCATACGGGTGGCTTTTACAAGCAGCTTTATCATTGTTCCGTTTTTTTTTAATTATTCATTGTGGTCATGGAAATGTTGATTCTTACCTGCTTGATATTTTACAGTCTGGAGGAGGTATCATGGTAAAGATGATCTGAAATGATGATTGAGTTTAGGGAATCAAAATCTCAAATTTCCCATAAAACTGCAAATGTGCTGAGAATTTTACTTGTTTGATTTGTTTAAATTAAATTCAGGACAGTTGTGAGTAAAACCTCCAAAGTACCAAAAAAAAAAAAAAAGTCAGGTTTTTAAATGGTAATTTCAGTGATAGTTAATTCAGTTCTAACTGATTTGTAAGCAAACGTTTTCACTTACAGCCCTGGTCGGGCACAGTGGGAGACGTAGTTTTGTTTCACTATCAGATATCACAGTAACCAACTCCTCAGGTATTCAGGTGTGTGGGAGCCCTTGGATCTCCTGTTAAACAGAAACTAGAAAATGGGGAAGGATGAGTTTTATATGCAATTATTTCCTGTTTTACCTTACTTTCCCATTTTCCCTCCCACCTTGAGTTCAGTAGCCTTTCACCTCAGCAGTGCTCCTTTGAAGGGTATGGATTTTCCATATGAGCAGCTTAACTAACAGAATATTAAAGCTCAGTCTTGGCCACACTCATGATTAATTTGTGACTAGATGTAAGGATGCTGGGGATGGGAAGAGAAATGAACTGTTATTGCTGTACAAAAAAGTACTGTGTGCTTTATTTCATCTAATGCTGGAAAGCTTTGGGAGGTGGAAGGGGCCATTCCTTGCCTGTTTTTTCATCCATATTTGTATATCCTGTAGCAGTTGGGTAAAACAGGAAAGGGCAGAGAAACATTTCTTTGAAAGTGTCACTGCCAGAATATTTACCTAAAGTTATCAGATAACCACAGGGGAACATACTCTTTTTATTTTTAAATATTTACTTTTATTTTCACTCTGGAAGCTCACCAGATATGAATGCTAATATTCAATTGTTCAGTGTATTGTAATGGTAAATGCTTAAAAGTGTATTTGCTAAGAGCTCATGATCTGTCTATCCTATATACTCCTTTTGTTACAATTTTTTTAAGAAAACTATTTTTGTTAATGTAAAGTTAATATTTCAGAGCAGAATTTTTAAACGTATTGCACTATATATAAGCTCTGTACAAATACATAATGCCTCAATGGTTTGATCGCACCATTCAAGAAAATCTTTTTAAAGGGAGAAGCCTTTTACAGAAGCTTTGCAAATGAAGTGGAGAAGTATGGCTAGGTAGAGAAATTTACCACTCATGTCATCAAGGTTTAATATGTGGTTCTTTATGTGCTTCCTTTCAGAGGACCAGACTTTTAAAGTGCTGCCAAAAGGCTTTTTATTATGTAACTAATCAGTGCTGTTAACTTTTGGGGATAGTGAAATATTTCACTTTTGCTTCTGTAAGTAATTTCATACTTAAACTTGTTTAAGTTTCTTTCAGTAAGTCAGCTAAAAGGATTTACTCTTTTCATATCACAAAAACCAAACTGTATGAAAAGTAATGAAAATAAAAATGCATGTATAAATGGTAGCTAAGGGGGGAGGCAAGAAGACTTAAGACCTTATCTAATCCTTGAAGTACTTAAGACACTTGTTAGCTGAACAATGTCTGTAGTTCAGCTGACATGGAGAGAGCTGTCTGGAGCATATGCAAGTTATATCTAAGTTAGATATCTGTTTTAAGCGTTAACTGGACTAGAACGTCAACCTAGGATTTAACCTGGAGTCCTGATGAGGCCTCTCAATGCAAATTAGCTGTCAGGCTACCTAGCAGAAGCGCTGGAGCAGCCTTTAGTGTGCGGAGAGAAGGCATTTCTGCTGTGCAGCGGCACTGAACGCTGATATTTGTGTAGATTGGTTGGGTTTGGCAACAGAAATTAAAAACTGGCTCAGAGGAATCCTAGGAATAGGATTTCAAGGCTAAGAGACTTATCACATACCCAGTCGCTCCAGAGAAACTGTAGTTTCCGTCTTATTTGGAAGTTATTGGAGGTGCTTCGGTTGAAGCTTTGGATTCTGCTCATTGTTGACATATTTCTGCCATGACGTGTTCTACAGGCTTGTGCTCTCTGCCCCCGGAAGTCCTGGGTGGTGGCTTTTCTCTTAATTCGTAACAAATTGGAGACAAATTTTGTATTTTTGTATGACTTGACTGTGCACCAGTTTTATAACAGTTTATCCTGTTTTACAAATAAATTTTGTTTTATTTACACGGTGTTTAAAAGATACAGGCAACACTTTTGTATGGGTAGCTGTAATGTTGGAGTAATATATCTATATCATTATGAAGTTTTTAATAAAATCCTGTGCACTGTTCTTGAGCATACACCTGGCACGTAGAGCTTGTCAGTTACAAAGTGGCCACGCCAAAATGCATTCCATCCACAAAGCAAGACTTTTTATGGCCCTTTAAAGCTTCCCTTTAAGCTTTAAGGAGTATCCAAAAGCTTTATTTCCAACAAAACTACAAGCTGCCCTCTTCCAGCCCTATCTTGTGCAAGGAGATAAGTAGAAAACTGAAGTCCAAAGAGACAGCTTTTCAGAACAAATTTAGACAATGCTTCCTTTTCCTTCACTAGTGAGGACAGTGGAAGAGGAGAAATCTTTGAATGTAAATCTCTGGTTGGCAGTACGGGTGCTGGGGGCTGTGGTGATGAACTAAATATTCATACATACCAGCTAGTTTTTAAAGGCAAACATATGGACTGCCTTGTGGGAAGTTCTGACTGGAGAGTAACGCTGATTCTGCATTGGGAATAACACTGCAGAGGAGTAGATGAGACAGCTGCGGTAGAGAAATCGGCTCCTTGCAAGGTCTGCTGACCCATGCAGTGCTTGAGAGCTAATGGTTCAGGCTGGATAATTTGGGTTCAGAAAAATGAGCCCAGGTGATTACCAGTTCCTGCAGAGAGTCTGGATTATAGCCTCCAGTCAGTTAAGCTTCAAAGGAAAACAAATCTACCATTTTTTAAATTCTCAGATCTTATTTTTTGCACTGTTTTGTCCTCTACTTTCTTTGTAAGCTGAAGAGTGTGAGGACTTTATTGCTTCTTCCAGCCCTAGAGAATCTTTGTCCCTCTCATAGCTCTCATTTCTATATTGCTTTTTCAGCAAAGGAGTGCCAAGTGGCAGAGTATCATCTCTCCTTTTTCACGATGATCTTAGCACATGCCTCATCACCTTCCCAAGGCAATGAGTCAGGATATTACCTGGACTGAATGGGAGGGGGAGAAGGTGCTGAGCTCAGGTTCTGAGGGCTTGTGGCGGTGGTGGTTGTTGGGTTTTTTTGCTATGACACCACCCCATCATTGTGCTTGCTACGCGTAGGAGTGCAGAGCCTCTTTTCTACAATTTCAGCACTGCTCCACAGCTAGACCAAGCACGCCCAGCTGCCAAAAACAGGACTGAGTTTTACGTGTGGCCTTAACTTGGCATGGTAACTCGAGGACTTTTTGCATTAGGAAACATGACCCGGAAGGGAGAACTTTAAAGTGGAAAGCCCAGTAACAGGCCCAGTTACACAGCAGCTTAATCCAAGAATCGTTCCCCGCATTTCCTTACAGTACCTTCTCAGGGTGGTTACTCCTTTCTGAAAGGGCTTTTCCTACAGCAAGCAATTAGCCTGCTCCAGTGCTCCCTTTGAAGGAGCAAGCAGAGTATGCTGACTCTTACTCTTTTTTCAGCAGAAAATGGGGATGCAAAGCAGATACAAGCCCTGCTAGAATAAGCCAGTGTTTGAGACGCATTTAATATGCCCTCATTGGCATGCACTTTAGTTTGCTCTGAATGGTTACAATGTATTCTGTGAATGTACGTTATGAAGTCAGAATAAAATGCATATAGCAGACATATATACTCAAAATCATGAAGCACTGTTCGTTTGTTTCTTAATACATATTACATGTTGTATAGAATGTGGTACAGTCACTTAAGAATTACTCTTACTAAGGTTTAAAAGTAGGCACCTAACAGTAAGCGTCCTTGTTTTTAAAATTATGGCTTTGCTTGTGCAGATACTGTTTTCTAAACAGTAAAATCTAAACATCTCAAGTCTGTTTCTTACTGAACAATTTGCTTGTGTTGTGTTATCACTGCAGAAATCCTACTTTGTCTATGCGGGGGGAAAAAAAGAAAAAACCGTTCCCCAGAACAAAACCCAAAAGACCTGTTTGAAGCGTTGCTTGCACTCAGCTTGGTTCTTGGGGGAGACAGGAGTTTACTCTAAGTATTTAATTTTTAAATGCTATTTCAACTATTTCACCTCTGCTGTTATTTCCATCGTACAATAGAACAAGAGAAATCATGGAGACCAGTACATTTGTATTTCTTATGCTCTGTAGAAAGTACTGATCTTGAGATTTTTTTTCTTTTATGTTTAGAGAGATGAGAGAAGAGATGAAACTTGTCTCTTGTGATGTGGATGTCATGTATGGGAAGCAGAATTTCTGTTCTAGAACAGAGCTGTGATGCGTCTTGCAGTGTTTGCAAGCTGAGGCAATCAAGCCAAAGCTCTTCAGTGGTACTAGAATTATGAAAATATTTCTAGGAACAATAAGTCACATGAATCCTTCTGAAAATATCTATTTAGAGACAAAGACACCTGGCATTCATTTGGCAGAGATTACTTAGAATAGGAGAAAACTAGCAGACACCATCAGATCCTCCTCACTTGTCTTACTGCAGCAGTTGAGTGATGTGTGAATGGGCTGAGCAGACTTTAGTATTTTAAATATTTGGTATCTTTTTGTGGAAACATGGGACTTAGAACCAAGGTGCCAGGTTTCAGAGCAAAACCACCGATTAACTTTAGCAGAACTAGACTAATTTCAGTATGTTTAAAGATGACTTCAGCCTTTCCACGTATGGGATAGAGCACACTGGCAATGTAAATGGCTGCCATTCCTCAAGTGCTGCTCCTTTCCCCTCTGGCTTGAGTAAAATGTGGGCAGGTAAGTATTTCAGAAAGGTTTTATGAAATTAGGATGCTGAATACTCCTAAACTCTAGCAGAAGTTGGGAGCTGAATTTGAGTTCCTATGAAAGTCTTACTTTTTAACCGTGAAATAAAAACTGCATGTGCTCCAGTGTTGGTATTGCATAGGTCCCTGCTCAGAGTCAAAAAGGTTCCTCCATTAGAGAAAAAGTGCAGCAGACAATAAGATAGTCGGCAGTCCCCCTTGTCGTGCTCAGACTACCACTTGCAACAGTAAAAGCAGGTGAGTGCAAAAGACTGTTTCCCATCACTGGCACGTGCAGAGCTCAACTTTTCTCCAGGCACTCATGTAAGCCATAGAGTGTTTTCCTGAATACCCCTTGAAAGAGAAACAGCAGGGGTTAGCACTGTTCTCTGGGGATCAGGCAGTTCTCACTTCCGCCACATTCCTCCTGCTCAGAAAGGTTAAGCGCGTTCCTACTGGTCAGTGGGAGCTGTAGTATGAAATTTGACATGAGCAGACTCACTAATGTCATCGGAGATGTGAGACCATGGGAAAGGAGAGGAGGAGAGGTCTTCAATTCTAGTCCACATTGTTTGTTTTACAACTAGGGTCTCACAAAACCAAGACTGCTGGTTTAAAGTGACTGTAAAAATTCCTGTCTACCATTTCAAAATATGTTTTTATAAGATACTTGCCGTTACTCTACTTCTGGCTGAAAAGTTAATTTTAATCCCCCTGCAGTCTTGGCAGTCAGAGATGTAGCTGTATTTGAGGGCTAGGGACTTGGATGATGCACTGGTGAAAAATAATGCGTCTCTTACCTGTTTCAGAACTAGAACTGTGTGCAGCAGCTCGGGATATAGCCCTGAGAGAGCAGGCAGGAAGGCAAAAGGTAGAAAGATAAAGAGGAAGCTGCCATGCAGCCGTATGCATTCTTTGCAAAAGGCCCAAGACTGCCTGATTCTACACTTGAGGAGCTGTTGAATGGTAGCTCCTAACACCAACCACTGCCCTAGTCTGCTGCCTTTTGTATCACACAGTGTGAAAGGGACCCTCTGTCTCTCTCCTACTCCCAGGCATTTAATAAAGCTATGCTGCACTGCCATCTGTTGCCAGCATGTTCTCAGCAGTGCGGCAGGCCTGCCTTGGTCCCCTCTTCTGCCCAAGGAAAGCGGCTGGACCTTGGGGCAGAGAGGGAGGAGAAAGCAAAAAGGTTGTTTTGTTTCTTATGTAAGCCAGAAAGGAACTGCTAGAGGCTGGCTGGAACCATGCAGAACATGGTTTCACAGGTATAAAATATTACACAAAATCTTCACAGCAGTTAAGAAAATTCATGTTCCATTTCACTGACATCTGACAGCAACATCTGCTGTGTCCTCCTTTTATTTTGCTCTGCAGTTTCGAGGCAAGAAGAAGGTATAATCCTCTACCTGTAGAAAGGAATTATTTTTACACTATGTTGCTGATTACAGTAACTACCCTAGGGAGGAAGAAAAATCTTCTGAATAGATTTTAAAGGCTTGGCAGTACCTCAAATAATACGTGCATTGTTGTAGTCCATCAAAGCTTCATGTGGAAACAAGTTTTTCATCTTCTTTCATACACTCCTACAGTCTACCCCCTGGACTGGGTTAGTGATTTACACTGAATCAAGATCAATTAACAAGCGCTCCTTTTTCCAGTAGAATGCCACCTCCTTTTGGAATGGGAAAAGTGAATGTGACACTGTTTATTGTTGTCTGAGAACTTGAAATGTTTTATACTGCAAGCTGTGAATGCGGGAAGAGAAGGGAAGTTAGCAGTGCTGATCTAATCTTAGATTTTCTGTGTAAACTGACATTGTGCCAGAATACTGATGCAAAACTGTATTTTAGTCTAAGAAATGTATAAATTTTTTAATGTATCAAAATAAAGTTGTGGGTTTTTTTAGTAAGAAAGATATTTGTCTCTTCTGTATGGACTGCTAAGCCCTGCCCTTCCTCTTATGAATAGTATCTCATTCCCCTGAGAGCAAAGCAAGAGTCCAGATCTTTGCTTGAGCTTTGCTTTGCTCTGTGCAGACCTGCCTGTAGCTGAGAGGCTACAGTAGCACTGGGCATCACCATTTGGCTCTTTCACTGTCCTGGTGCCAAGAAAAGCACTGTGGTGCTAACACTTTGCTAAGCTAGAGGGTTTGGGGGGGCAAGGGTTTTGTAGGGCTAGGGTGTGTTTTGCTGTCTCTCCTCTTTCTAACATACATCCTGCTCTTCAAGTCCTCTCATGGGGTTATGAACTGCCCCTCTAACTTTGTGCCACCTATGCCATAGGCTCTAGCATGGCAGGTTCCTTGCTGTACGCTTCGAGGATACACTTCCAGGACACAGGGTGTGTTGGAAGGTCAGTCCCACGCAGACTAGGTTGCTAAGCCCTTACGATAGAAGTGGAGTTAGCCATCACACACATGCATCCATTCCCCTGCTCGTACCCAGGATTCAGGACTGTTAGGGCTGTCTGGACCAGACTAGCCAATAACATAGGCTTTGCCTCGTAGAGAGACAGTTTGGTAGGAATGCAGAGGAGGGAAGGGTGAAGGCACTCTTTCCTCAATTATGAGAGACGTGCAAAATGTGGTTCTCAACGCAGCACCTCTTGAGAGACCAGCCCCTAATTCTGCCGGGTGCTGTACATGCCCCCTGCTCCTGATGCAGGGCCCAGTTCTGCGGAGCGTTCTAAAGAACTTGGAAAGCTAAAGATAGCAATAGAAATAGAAATAGAAGCAACTAATAGCATCTGTACAGTCTTACTAGCAGAGGTATGTGTGATCAGAGAGATTTCTTCCTTTCTCCTGTCCTTCCAAAAGCACAACGAATTTCCACTTTCTTTATTGACAGTTTCTCAACGGACTTAAGCCAAGTGGAGTAGTGTTTCCTGCTGGTATTACTCCTCACTGCAAAGTCGAGAGTGCCTTTTTCATGATTTATTAAGGATGAAGCTACTTGGCTAGATTGGTTTACCTGCCTGAAACAAGAGAGGCTCAAGGGATGCCCTTCTCCAACAGTAAAGGTGCTGGAGGCAGGAGGCAAACCACACGGGTTATGCAAATTCTAGCTCGTTCCCCCTGAGTTTTGCTTGTGTCAGAAGTGCAGGACAGAGTCAGGAGCCATGAGCTCTTTGGCTGTCCTCACCCTCTCCAGCAAAGACAGCCTGAAACACTGATTTCTCCAGCTCTGAAACAAAAGAGCTTTGTGGCTTCCAGTGAAAGAGAAGAACATGAAGGTGCTGAAGATGGGCCTGAGGAGAGCTGGTGAGAGAAGCACATGTAAGAACCAAATGGGACATGGGACTTTATTCCAGTCTCCCATTCCAGTGGGAGACTGGAATAAAACCTGAGATCAGCAGGGGAGCAGAGTCAGCAAGAAAAAGCAGGAAGCTACTAGCAGGAGGGACAGCAAGGATGTAGAGACAGAAGGTGACAGAGAGGACTAGGACTGAGAAAGCAGGACTTCTCCTTCTGCAACACAGCAGTCCCCACTGACTGGACACTCTGCACAGGATGAACACATGCATCTGAAAGACAGCCTTAGGACCAACTCCCTGACATTAGTAATTGCAGTCTTCCTGCTTACAGGACAGCACAGCTCTTCAGCTGCCAAAGGAGCTCACCCACCTGGGGAACGGGGCCCTCCGCATGCAGTCCTCAGGGTGTAGCAAACAAGCTCCTTTTCCAGGCTGACAAAGCAAGATCCTCAGGTGCTGAATTCTGGCACAGCTCCTTCCTCCTACTGGGGGCCACTGAGGAGCTGACCCAGTTTTAGTCACTGCTATTGAGATGTTTAATGAAGATTAGCTAGTGCCTAGGGAGAGATTAATATTTAGAGTTTCTAATTACCATTTAAATTATGAATGTGTGAAATGGATGAAGCTTGTACTCCCATAAACAGGGCACCTAAAAAAGGTGTTTTCTCTTTTTCTGACACATAATGTCATATTCTCCATCTAATTCTCAGTCCTTGTTTACCTTAGAAACACTAAATTTAAAGTGGAAGAAAGTCCAATGCCAGGGCAGATTTTCTGAGACCTTTGCTAGAGAGCAGTCTAGGCTGGGAAAAAAGCCTATGATAGAAGCTACCAAATTGTTTTGCCCAGCCACCTGAGCTGGCAGCAATCAGGCGTGAGACAAATAAATGGGTGAGCAGGTATTTCACACTAGAATGCTCTGGAGAAGAAATCACAAACGTGAACCCTGCCCCCTGCCAAAACAAACTCAACCCTGGGACTCTGCCACAGTCTCAGAAATAATGATGAAATGTCCCTTGGTCTAAATTATTTTTCCGAGAACCCTTAGACAGCTACATTCCAGTTTTAAATACTAAGTCCTGAAGGAATACAAACCCTGGGCAAAAAGTAGCTGCTAGGTATTTGCAATGTCAGATGGAGCAGGGTAATCTTGCCATCACTCTCCAGATTGCAGGGCCTGCCATGCCCCATGTCTTTGCCCCAGGGGCTTCCAGGTTCAAGAAGGATGGCTCAAAGGTTTGGGGGCTTTCCTGAGGTCATCATGCTGCAGCTCCACCACCTCCTCTGTAACCTGGGGCTTGCCACTTGCTGTCTTTGTGCCTCCCTTTCCCTGCTGACAGGGATGCTGTGAATGTGAGTACACCAAAGATTAATAGGCTCTGACAGGAGTAGGGACAAATAAATTAAACAGGGGCAGGGAAGGCTATGTGTTAAGCTGGGGTGAAAAAAGGGCTCTTGGCAACTGCAAAGGGCATTGAATTAGGCTGAGGCTGCAGAACTTGGACATGCTTCTGAAAAGGGAATTTTGAGGGATCAAAAATGAGAGCCCTTGTCCTGACACTGGTTGTTGATGGCACAGAGTGAGGCTGCACTGTAGCAGAGATCTGCAGCTGAGTTGTCCCCTGTAAGCTTCCCTGTACGTGAAGCTGTTTGTCATTCTCCTTTGCATGTAACAATAGTGCCTGGCTGCTTCATTCCTAGATAAACCATGAGCCCTGCCGTTTTTTTTGGCAGAGAGGGCAGATCTGTTTTGCCATATAAGCTCCTGTTTTCCTTTTGGTTGGTACCTAGTCATGTGATATGGAAGATTGTGTGGAAATGGAGCACTTCTCATGATGCACCAGGTCTTCCTCCTTGTCAAGGTCAGGTACAGAGCTCATCCTCAGCCTGCTGTTCATGGTGCCAGGACAGAGCAAGACCTCCCATTTATCCCAGGATGAGGAAATCTTGAGTCAAAAACAGTGTGCACAGCTGCACAGTGGGGCTCAAGCCCAGACACTCAGATCATTGCTGCTGTTTGCTCTTGTGTATGTGTTTGCTTTGCTGCTGTGGGGTTAGCTCTCTGGGACAACCTCCATCAGCAGGAGGAATCAGCAGGGGTTTGGGGCTCTCAGGATACATAAGTTCAGTAAGCAGTAGTTCTGTATTAACCAGAAACTGCAGCTGATCACAGCTCCTGGTCATTGCAGCCTGGTGTCCGCTTTGGGCCTACCCACTGCTCCTCACTGAAGCCTGTTACAGATGATTTCCATAGTGTGCTCTGTGCTGCTGCTCTCCTGTTCCCCAGAGCTCTTGGGCCAAATACCATGGTATTTCTTTGCTCCTGGTTTTCCAAGCCTGTCTGACAAACAAATCCTGTCTTCCCTGCTGCTCCTGAGGGCTCTCCTGTGAGTACAGGCCTGCAAGACCCCAACCCCTAGGCCAGCAGCTCCACTGCAAGAGCCTATTTTCTGCAAAAGGAAAAATTCATTTGTGAGAACCCAATGCTGTGTCCCTTCTAAACCTCTCAGAATAGCACAAACCCTAATGACAGTAGCAAAACTTGACTTCACTTTGGAGTTTCTTGCTTCTCCTCTAACCTGGAGCAGGAACCTTGCTAGCGCAACTAAAGGGACTGCAAGACAGGAGTTTGCTGCATATGTTTTACAAAGCCTGGTAGGAGGACTGTGGAGGATTGCTGTGCTCTTACAAGCACGGGCGTCCTTCTGCCTCTGGACAAGAAGCACCGGAGCTTGTTTTTTTATAAGCTCTCTGGTGTTGCACTCATTCTTTGTGATATAACATGAGGACAAGAAAGAAACCTCAGAGGGGACTGTGCCACAGCACAACAGAAGATCTGGCTGCCAGAAGAACAGATCTGAGGTTCATGTACTCTGTGATGAAGAAAAAGCTTGAGAGCTTTGTCAAAATACCTTTTTTCTCAAAAAAAGCTAAACACAGCACAGGAGAGTATAAGTCTGGGTTTCCCAGAAGATACACAGCTTGAAAAACTACTAAGCTTCAGACAGAAATAATAAAGAGCAAAAATGCGAGTGGAGGATGGAAAGAGAACTATACACAAACCTGATGTTTATGTTCATAGCATTGTGTTCATGGGCCAGGGTCCCCAACCTTGCCGTAATCATTAGGTGGGTTTATTTTAGGAACAGCTCATAACAAGACAAGTGAAAAGAACAAATCAAGTTTCCAAGCCCTGTGGGCTAGGCAGCTGTTGTTCAAAGTAAGTGAACCACAAAGCGCAGTCAAAGACCCCAAGCTTTCCCCAGGGTCCGGAGGGCCTCAGCCATGATACTATGAGGGCAGTAAGTATGGGATATGGAAATGGCAATAAGAAGTAAAATGAGATGTGAACATGGCCAGAACACAGACAGCCTCCTTTGAAGTGGGCTGCAGGAAAGCTCAGGGAGGATCCCAGAGCAATGCCCAGGCCCTGCTATTTGAAGTGATGGCAGCAATGTATTTCTTTCAGAGCGAGTATTTGCACTTACCACTGCCAGTTACAGCTACCCTGGAAGAGCACAACTGCTGCCAGCAATTAAAAGGAATTAGGTCATCTTTGTCTTGAATTAAGCGTTCACATGGAGGTGACTGGGAGAACTGCATGAAGACAGATGAGCCCCTGAAGTCTGAGGATCACTGGATTTGAGGCAGAAGGAGCTTCTGGAGACACACCCCCTTACGGTCTTACTTTTGTGGGAGGGGCAAAGCTGTCCTTCCTGCCTGTCCTGGAAGAACCGTCAGGAGGACTGGTGAGAAATTCCCCCCCCCTTTTGCAGGCCAGGTCACACACCACCTTGCTGTAATAGCAGTAACATAGCAGGTGAGCAGTACTAAACGTGTCACATAAACGCAGGTTTCTGCATGGTCTTTGTTCAGATTATGTGGCAGAAACACTATTATAAATGACAAGTACTTCACACTGAAGTAGGCTGTTCTTTAGAAAAAAAAAAAGCATTCCCTGCTCCTGAGCCAGAGTTAACTTTCTCTGTTAAAATCAACCCAGAAAACTACTTGTCTTCGCCCTTCCAGATGAGCCCTACTGACTTGCGCAGCCTGAGGGCTCAGCTCAATACAAAGCATAAGCAGCATTATGAGTTTTAACAGTAATAGCTTCATCTGCTTTCCTTCCTTTGCAGTCACAATACTACTGAAATCCAGGGGGAATTAAAAGTATTCTGACTGCAGAGCTCCTCAGCCGCCCCTTGTAGTTTGGCTGTGAAATAAATAGCCATTGACAAGAAAGGGCAATTAGCTAGTGAGACTGGTGCTTCATCATAACCCCATTTTTAAAAGGCTGCTGATACAGGAAATTTGACACCAAAATAGCATCCCAGGAAATTCGTATTCCCTAAAAACTCACTGTGCATTCAATAAAGCAATGCTTCAAAGAAGCCAGGAAGCCATTTTCCTCCGGGACTGCCATCAGGAGGAACTGCTGTGCAGAACGCTGTGCCAATGAGCATGTCTTCTCACTTTTGTACCTTTCCTCCAAGCGCCGCCAGGACCTCCTGCAACAGCCAGGCACCCTCACAAGGGCTAGCTGCAAAGGCTTTAGGCTGCCCACTGCTCCCCCCCCCATGCCTCTCAGCAGGGGACTGGCATTGCTTGGGGCCATCCTGCTGGCTGCCCACCTTGTGCGTGGTGGGGACAGACCCCACATCTACCCTGCTGATGGTCACAGCTTCTTGCAGGTTGCCTTCATGCCAAAAAGCTACACGGTGGCTTGGCAGGAGAGACAGGAGGACCACCGAGTTCATCCCTGGCCAGGACAAGAGGTGAACTGGTGCTTCCAGAAATGCCTCCCTGGCCCAGATGCAGCTGGGAGCAAAGCTTGGACAGTCTGAGGGCTTAATGTGATGCTGAGGCACTAATGCCCACATGGCAGCTCTCACCCTCCGCGTCACAACCCCCTGCCCTGGCTGCAGGAACGAAGGTGACCTTGCTGAGCGGGGGCCTCCGAGCACAGCTCTCCGAGGAGCTCGCAGCCTCCAGGCAGCCTTGGGGAGGTGTTAAGGGCATCTAATCTCATGCCCTGGCAATGCCCTGGCAATGCAGCACATATGTGTGCATGGTGCTGCCTGGCTTGGCACCTGCCAGCAGTGGGACTTCTGCTGCTGTGATCGTGGACTGGTCCCAGAATCAATGCATCTCCCTGCAGGGAGATGTGCAAGATATTTCTTCTTCTCCTCTAGGTATTTTGAAAAACAAAGTGCTTGCTGCCTTTTGTATCTGTTCAACGCCAGTAAAAAAAAAAAAATTCACGCCAAAGGGCAGGCTGTCTCCTGTAAGCCCATGGCATGAAATCCTTCACCACCAAAACTATGCTGGTGCAGTGAAGTCCCCAGTGTTCCCGCACACCTGCTCGACCAGCTCCTGTGCGTGTTCAGGAAAGCCCTGTTGCTGAGAGGAGCTCGGTGCCCCAGCTGGACAGTGGGGCTTCAGACTTCCTGGGGCTGTTATCTTGGTGCCCTCTCTGCGTAGCCTGCTCTGACCCGGTAAGGGAAGGCTCATAGCAGAACCAGCTGGATGCCAGGATTAGCGTGCACTTTGCTGCTGTCTTAGCAAAAGAAAGGCTGCCAACTCAATGTCCTCGACCGCTGTTAACTGATTCCCCCCCGCCATCTCTATCCTACTCCAAAGGGGTCTGACTTCTGTCAATATTTGTTCCCCTTCAGCCTGCGGTCCAGACGCCTGATGTGATTTCCATGCCAGCCTATGAGCACCACGAGGAGCATGAACAGATAAGAAGTCTGCCTTTTGACTGGCTTAGCCTAAGATCAGGAGATGGTGCACAGGGGTCCCTTCGCTGGGTACCTGACCTCTCCTTGCTCCTGTCCTCTAACTAGCTTATCGCAGCGTGGCCCAAGGTATTGCACCAGAGGTTATTGTGCTCCAAGAGGTAGCATAAAATTAGCCTTCAGGGCAAAGGTTATCCGTTCCCTTTATGTATCAGTTACAGTAAATATAGGACACGGTCAGAAAATCCATTTCACGCTCCTCAGCTCCTTGTGCTTAAGGAAAGCTATAGCTCACCAGGTCCAACCGTGTTGCAGCTTCTCCTGCTGGCAGCCTTGTTTTGCTGTTCTGTCACACGTTCCCGCAAAACGTGGGAGATTAAGGGGTTAGATCCATCCATTGCTGCTCTCCTATGAGGCCACACAAAATGTATGCAACAACCTCCAGAGAGGTGCAGAAGTGCAACTTTCAGCCCTTTCTAAATCCTTCTCGTCGCTGAAGCTCATATCCCCAGAATCACCTTTTCTCATCTGCAATCCTTTTATTTATTTTTTAAACAGACACACGATCTTCATGCCACAGGTAAAACAGCCTGTACTTTTGATCTGCATATTGTCAGCCACATTCTCCTTCTTTCTAGCTGCTTTTTACCCCAGCTCTCCTCTGCACGCTAGCCCAAGCGTTGCCCCAGATGTGCCTCCCAATCACCTCTCTGACTCTTCACTGTCTCCTGTGCTTTTCCCACACTAAGTCCTTGGCCCCAGCCTTGTAAACACGTCGGGTCCCACCTCTCTGCCCGTAGCCCGGGTCCCACCTCTCTGCCCGTAGCCATGGCCTTCCCAATACCTAACGCAGCTCCTGGGGTCGGACCCCGCCACGGCTGCTCACCACATCTCCTTCTGCTCCCGCTTTCTGGAGCAATGCTCCTCTTCTCTTCCCCCTCTTCCCCTATCTCTGTCCTTTGCCGGTATGGATATCAAATTTGTCCGTCTTAAGAGTTTAAAGGTATCCTGGGCAAAAAAAATTAGAGCTGTCTCCACTCTGTAACTCTGCCTTACCCCAATAACTTAAGTGAAGATAGGCAAGTGGATGGCAGCTTCCAATCGGTGCTGTGCCTTTTACAAGATCAGCTGATGACCGTGCAGTTCTGGTGCTCTATCATGCTATAAGCTCCTTGCTTCATAGTTAAAAGCCAATAAGAGAGAAGACAGCTACGCTGCTGCTTCCCTGCATGTTCTTGAGGACGCACGGCTCTCACAGCACAGCAATTCAGACTATTACCAGTGGAATTTCAAATGCACTTGGCTCTGCCCCCACTTTGGTTGTGCTACAAGTGGAGCAGGGAATAGAAATGCACTTTTAAGCGCTTCTGAAAATCTCACCGTTAAATAATTTGAACAAGGACCCCAAGGCCTCACACATGGAGATGGTCAATTTCATTTTTCAAGTAGCGTTTAAATGAAAGTGGCAGGTGCAGGGTCCATGGCTGGCACAGCAGCATACACACAATAACATAAGCATAAATACAGGCAGCAATCTGTTTACGTTTCATTCAGCAACAGAGCCCATACTCAGATCTAAACAACCCCAAAGGTTTGTTTCTGGTGTGTGTTCTGCTTTAGGTGCACTTATAACTTGAATACAATAATTTACTTAAAGGGCTCCCTTTGAGAAGATATTAGAAAGTTGTGTACTCCACACTGGTTCCAGTTCAGCTTATGCAGAGAGATTCACATCGATTTCTGTAGGATTTCACTGCGCCTTTAGATTGAAATGCGAGTGCGCCCAAATGTGACTTTGTGTCCTCAGTAGTTGGCATTCTGTAATTAAGCCTTCGTTTAGTTAATGACATTAGCAGAGCACAGTGTCACTTGCAGAGTGCCTAGAGCTCGCGTGTTCATTTTTACCGACATGTCCTCTGGAAGACCATGGTCAAGGGCAGCAGGACCCCAGGCACACAGACCCAGGGACACGGGGCTGGAGCAGTACCTGCAGGAGTGGGGATGGAGGGAGGCTGGGGCAGGGGCAGGCAGCAGGAACCCCCTGCAAGAGCGGACAGGGAGGTCCAGGGAGGAGCATGGGGATGCAGCAAAAAATCTGGGATTATGCAGGTTGCTGCAAAGCCATTGAAAGTGCCCACAAGTTTTCACCCCCCGCATCACTCTCAATCTTCTCTTCGCCCTTAAAACTTCTTACGAAGTTCTCCAAACATCCCCAGTAACTCTGGTAAACTCAGTTGGCCTGACCAAAATTGCAGACACTTTACAGGGGGACATGCCCTTAAGGAGATCAGGTAGATGCCACCATTACAAATGCCTCTGTCAGTCATCAGTGAGCGAAGCTTTTAGCCAGCTGGCCAGGGAACGGGGCGGGCTCTTCCAGCCAGGCACATCCAAATTGCATTAGCAGCAAGCAGCTGTTTCCCTGGACAAAGGAGTGCACAACACACTAACATTTTCTCAAGCACCACAACAGCTTCCTTTCTGCTGCAGGTCTCTGGCAACCGTTGTGCTCTGCTAGAAGAGCACTTGTCAGAAAAGAGCTTATTCAGCTCAGGATAAACCGGTGGAGCTTCACTGATCTGCACAGAGGTCCTGATTTAAAATCAACAAAAGGACCAGGTCCTGACGGCAGCAGCGGCTGCAGAAGCCTGGTACGTGCACCAGCATCCTTCGAGCATGCCTCTTCCCACCTTCTTAACCCTGTTTCCTAGAGCACAGGGGGTGGCTGCAACTCCTGGGAAAACAAGTCATGGGGCAGAGGGTGGCTGCAGCAGCGTCCCCTTGGGCTTTCAGGCCATCTGCAGCCCCCAGCCGAGGGGCTAGTGTTGCCTTCCAGGACACAGCTGACAGCTCAAACCATGCCCGGGCTGCGGTCTCCACCTGTGCAAGAGCATCCTCCTGCACAAAGCCTTCAGATGGCACAGTTGAGTGAAACTAGCTCTTCTGGCTGAGTTGAAAAGGTCAGGTAGGTCATACACCGTGTTTTGGAGCTGCAGCATTCCTATTAAACTGCCATCACAAACAGGTAACCCGTCGCTCCCCTCCTGGGAAGCAGACTTGCAAAGACACAGTGCCATCAGCTGGGCATTTGTGAGGACCTGCATGTTGCTCCAGCACACCTGACTTTCCCAGCCAGAGGCTGTGGGTTCAGACAGCGAGGCTTTTATGTTTGAACAGCTCTTTGCAGTAGACAGCTGTGCCTAGGGTGCACGTAGAGCGGCTGAGTTTCCGTAGGTGATGAGGGCAAGCCCGCGTGCAGCACAAAAACAGGATTAGAAGGTCTTGAGCCCATTGAGAGGACAGCGGCCAATCCTTGCTATGAAATGGCTTTGGAAAGCCTTGCGCTCTTCCCGGCGCAGCCCTCCGCCACGTGCACCACCATCCGCCAGCAGCTATGTGCCGACCGAGGACAGCCAAGGTAACAGCAGTGCCCCTTGGCGCTAGCAGCAATTTGCCATTGGAGTCAAAAGCCGTGACTGGCTCTCAGAGCCTTTTATAAAGAAGGGAGACATCCAGGTGGCAAGTATTCCTTCACTTGTAACGTTGCCCCCAACCATATCACCCAGCAAAGTGTAGTCAGCCTTATAAAGCTTATTGATTTTACTCCCTGTCCTCCAAACTGCAACTTGCAGACCAATCTCTCCACCAGAGTAGGCTGGCACATCTTTTCCTGTAGGTTAAAGCTCATATTTGATCATCTCTTCTTGCCTCCTGCTCCCTCTCCATTTACTGAAAAAGACAGTAGCAGACCCTTTTTCTCAGGTGAGCTTGCTTTTCCACTAGGTGAAAAAGCTCCCTTTCTCTGCTCTTTTTCCTTCTGGTCAACCTGTTCCTCTCCAGTTTATCTCCTCACATTGCCTTTCTTCTTTCTGCTTCTTGCTGCAGGGCTTTTCAAAACGCTGCTTTAAAATGTGAAGTGACTTCTGGACTGCGTGGCTCTGGGCCAAGACATCGTACGTGATAGCTAAGAAAATTCACTTACTCCCTACTTTTAGACATAGGTCAAAGCTTATTGCAATGGCCACTTTGGAGTAATAGGACCAACATCAGGGACTGGTAAACTGATCTGATTTGAAGAACTTGGCCTTCATCATCTTGATAGGTAACTCCTCAGCAATATCCTTAACTTTGTTTTCATGTAATGGGTTATGCCTTTCTTTTCAGCAGCTCTCACAAACTCACTTGACTCTGCTATACTTGAGTGTAGTATATAGGTATATCCCACCTATATTTGTATGCACTGTATCTTAAAGATTTCCTATATATTTTAAAAAGAAAAAAAGAAAAAAAGAAAAAAAGAAAAGGAAATTCACAGTAGTTAACCTAAATGGAAGGCCAAATTTAACTGCACTGGGTCACTTTGAAACTTAACATGCTTGATAGAAAGGCTGAATAGGAGAATGAAATTCACAGCAGGGCAGGAATTAAGTGGTCTCTGCTTCTACCGCAGGAGCCAGCACGTTTTGAAGCAGTGACTCAGTAGAAGTAAAGGCAATCCTCAGCTACTTAAAACGAAATCCAGGCTCCAATCCAGCTCCTTCAAGTGTGGAGCTGCTCAGAAAGTGTGGCTGCCACCGTACACGTTCCTCTCGAAACGGTCCCTTCTGATGGTACAGAGAAAGTCACTCTTTGCCTGGAAAGGGCCATTTTGGGTCCCAGAGATGGAGCAAACTCGGTGCTGCCCTGAGGTATCACTGTACTGCCAGAGAACTTCTTTGCACGGGGCAATGGCCTGCTGTGGGACTCCATTAACAAAACATAAGGCCCTGCTGGGCTTAGGTGCCCTGTTTTGTTGTTCCCACAGCTCACGTGTTTTTCTTTTTAGGGAACGCTGTGAGTGAACTGCATCACTGGCCATCACATCGTCAAGGTGAGAACTCTCTGGCGGTAGCTGCCCATGTGCGTCCATGTAACTTGCACCTCCACATTCACGTCAAAGCTTTGCTGAGATGGGAGCTTGGTGCTGACCTTCAGTCTCCAGACCCATGCTTCCACTGAGGTGGCAGTGGATGGCCAGTAATGCTCTTTGCACTGCCCTCCCTCTGATGTAAGGCCACTTTCCTGGAATAAAGGAGGGATATTTTCTTTCAGCCCTAATTACCATGAACTCCAATGATTTTTTTGGTACTGAAACAGTGTTTTCTGCAGTTATTTCTGCATGACCTGTCTGCATGCAGTTTCCTCTGAAGCCACTTACATTTTTGTAACAGCGCTATGACCTGGCCAAGACCTTGACCCAGGGCCTACAGGTGAAGGCTTCTGTGATGCTTTTGACACCTTGGCATGAGCTGGGAACTGGAGGGTGTAGGAGCCTGCCCCAAGGGAAAATGATCTGACAATGACAGACTCAGGAGTTTGCCTAAAATATGAGGGCATGATAGGGTGGCAGCCACGGGTGGTGCCATAGCATGGCAGCAATATGGAGTGTACGAAACATATGGTTATGAGAATCCTAAGTGGGACAGAAAAGGGACACGAAATCTCAAACTGAAAGGTTACTTCAGAGAAGAACAAAAGCTGGCTAACAGATTAGCTTGGGTATGATTTTCTCCTGTCTGCAGAGGTGTTTCCAAACCAGTTCTGGCGAATGTGCAGATAATAGCCTTTGTAAGAATACGTGCTGTGTAAGTCGTTTAAAGTAACTGAATACGGCTAGTATTCAGTTTTCTAAGTCTGTACAATGTCAATATTGACTAGATACAGAGACTGTATTGTGCATTCATGGTCTTCTCAGGAAGGCAGCAGCCAGCTTTGCTCGGACAACTCATGTTTCCACATCCAGATGCTGTGGCTGATCAAGGAGATAGATGCTCAGGGCCACGCTTCTTCTTTTTTTGTTTTTTTCTCTCTGCAGAAATATCCAGTAATTGAACTCTAGGCTGCATGCAGCAAGGCAGAGGGAACCAGCACAGACACGGGCTGTCCAGTGCAGGATGCGTCCTTAAAGGACTCAGGCTCCAAGCTCATCCATGGGACTGAACCTGTCAAGTGACAGCTGGAACG